CAACAAAAAAACTTTAATGCATATAGAAATTATTCATAGCTAATAAAGAAGGAACCACTAGTAATTCAAAATAAATAGAAAATGCTCATTTGGAATTTTTCTAGCAATTTTTGAGCACAGTGCTGCCACAAATCGTGAGGACAACATCGGAACTAATAGCAATCATGCTTCCTTGTCAACGCGTAAACGACTGTATCTTTAACGTAGCTATAAAACGTAACATAAACATGTTAAAGGCTATATTAGCAAACCACGCGTTGTTACTTACGACCATCTACATTTCTAACTATATAATACCTGTAGATGGTCATTCATACTTTGAAACCTTTAATAAGACTAAAATGTTACAATTTGTCATAAAAATCATACTCATATATAACTTTGCATAATTCCAATTTTGATAAAATAAAAGTCTATAAAATATAATAAAAACGCATTATTTTTTACTTTTTTTATAAAACAAACATAACCTTTTGCTGTAAAATACCTAATCTTCATTTTAAAATATAATGGTGAAGAAAGCAAATTACTAATATCAAATAGATTATATAGTATAGTATTTTTTTTTTCGTGTTCTTTCTCTGAGTGTACCGCTTGTAAGGTCAATAAAGTTATTTCTTTCTTTTTTCCATTATCAAGTCAAAATTCAAATAAACTGTAATTAAAAATTTAATACTTAGTTACATCATATTTCTAATAAGATACTTAGTTACATCATATTTCTAAATGTTCGCACCACTAATATGATTATAAAATCTCAGAACCAAAAAATACGTGAAGGAGTGTGTTTTTTTTTGTTGTTCTTTACATTGAATAGGCTCTGAATAGGCTACAGGACTGATTTTAAAAATTCATTCTGTAATTAACGCGGGCGTTGTCGCGAGAAAACAGCTAGTATTACTGTTATTGAATTCGAGAGATTATACAATAATCATAGTTGAGTAATAAAAGCTAGTAGCGGTGTGCCGTTCCATCGTTTATTTCATCCTAGGTTTCCGCATATAAACTTTTTTGTCTTTGATATTCAACGTCATTTCCCTTAATTATTCACCTTTCGTAATTTGAAATTTTGACTAATCCAATATGCTCTTTATGAATGTCAGTTCGTAAAAAAATCATCTGTTGTGAACATGTTATTGTAAATCGTATAAAGACGCAAAAAAGCGGAAACGTAGTAACCCACACCCAAGCCAATTTTTTTTTATTGCAGATTCGAAATAAGAAAAAAAAAACTCTTTTAAATGGTCTAATACTCCTTGCTCTACGACAAATAGAATTTTTTGTATAGCATTGGAAATTAGTCTGCATTTTTGAAAAACTAACGGAAAGATTGATGTAAATAGCATAAAAAAGAGTGTTTTTTATCACTTTACATTTACATCAATTCATCATTTTCAAATAACCTGATCTCGGTAGTTACAGCGCAGTGAATATTCTGAGCAATGTGGGTTACAGCGTTTTTGCTTATAAGGATTTAGTAACGCACCACGTTTACTACATATCTTTAAAGATAAAATGGTTATTCGTGGCGGTTTACTACAATCCACGCATAAAATAATATTTGAAATTGTCGAATACGCCAATTTAAAACTTTATTATTTTCCCCGATTTTGGTCTGTATGCCATTTGTCATAACAGTTGTCTAAGTAGATCATTGGAATTTACCGCCATTTTAAGTTGCGCTGGCGTTCATTTCTTTGGACGCTTACCGCGTCGCACAGTCACTGCGCGACAGTTGAAGGAGTGTGTTGTTTGTCGTAAACGGATTTCGCTGCGTGACTCGACTCGTTTTAAAATGTAAGTAGAATTCATTTCAATTATTAAAATGGTAATAAGGTTATGAATGTGTTCGTAATAAGTGGCTTTGATTAGTTTATTCAATAATCATAATGTTATTTAGAGGCAACGTCAAAAATTGTGTTTTAATATGTAGGTATTTATAATAGATGTATTACGATAAATAATTTTGTTTTTCTCTGACTTAAGTTTATGCGAATTACCTATTCTCATGTAAGTAGGTATCAATACAACTGCTACTCCCATACAACAAACGTTTTTATTTTGCTCGATATTAATAACGGCAACAAGAAGACGTTTGAAATATTCACAGAATAGGTATTAAGAGATATATTAACTTAAAAAAAAATATTTAAATTAAAATATTTTACTCCCATACAAAAAACGTGAAAAAAACCACATTTTATTAGGTACGGGTCGACTCGCACGAGTCCAACTCGCACTTGGCTGGTTTTTAATTTACTTAGGTAATGGATTTTCTGTATTTAGATCTGATAAATATTGTTAGATTAGGATAAAGTTTCTATTATTGACAGCATGCATGAAGCAAAGTGTGGTGCTACACACTATTAATTACTATTAACTTTATTTTAGATCAAAGATGTCTAAACGCCGGCGAGAATGGAAAGAGTCGTTGAAGCAAGTGGTTGAAAGTGATACTTTACCTGAAAAAAGGGAAAAAATCAAAATTTTAAGTGATAAACCTATAAAAATGTAGAAGGAAAAATGATTCTTGTGTCCACTGAAATAAACAAAGTAGAAATGAATAATAATACTACGATTCTTCATCAAACACCACAAAAATTTAATGTAGACAATTTAACCCCCACTTTCAGAAAACCAGATAATTTTATAGCTAAAACCAAAGAAGTAATGAAAAGTATTACACCTTTTAAATTATTCCCCGTAGCTTCTGAGACGCAGTTTGAAGAAGAATTTACAATGATTCCTGGACGCAGCACAGAGCGTGACGAAAAAAATGGAGATTTTAATCATTTGAATAATATTGCACCAATTTTGAGTGAATACAAACACGAAGCAAATTGTTTTGCTGAGACACTTTCCCCAGATCGTAAAAAGCTACCGAAAGAGAACAGCTGTTCTTTCACAATTCAAATAGAGGTAGAGCATAACAGTAACCCGGTTAAAAATTATAATGTTAACCTTACAGAATTAATAAATGCGAACAATAATGCAATTGTGGAAACAAGTGATCAATATCCTGATTGGGAAAGGAAAACTAGCGATGAAATTATCATTTGTGAAAACAGACATTTTGATGATCAAAGTCAGTATAATTTAATTTTGAAATAAAAGTTATTTTACTCATAGTATTAATAATTATTATTATATTACTTGATAATGTAATGATATTTTTATTGCATTAACCTTTTTGTCAATTGTTCCAAATCTTTAAAACTAATTTATCCTAATCTATATAATTAAATCTATATTATAAGCTTAAGTTTTATTTTATCAATTTTTTTCAGAAAGTATGAATATTATAGAGATCTACAATAATACCGAAGCTGTTGAATTGCATAAGAAAAACTGTGATTCAGACGAAACCAATGATGGAAATAACTCTCTAGAACAACCCATCGGTATTGTAGTCTATCCTGAAATACATAATGAACCCAGAAAAAAGAAGAGTAAATGTGATAGAGACAAAAAGTATGAAAATGTTATAGTAATACAAAACCATGAACTTGATGATGACGAACTAGTCATTATACCCGAAGATAATACAAGCACTTTAAATATACCCAGCTGTAAAGTTCTGGATGAAGGTATTATTTTTTGTAATTGCGCTTTTACTTATATTGTCGAAGCTATTAATAGTAAAATAGATAATTTTTCATGGTATGATTTATTTTATAATAATATATACTATTTTTCTAATAATCTGATTTGAACTATTTACTGGGTAACTAATACAAGACATTTGAACAGATACTATGGCGGTCCAGTGGCTGCGGCTGTAAAGTGACCGAAATATCAGGTTAAATTCTTAAAAAAACGAGATAGTATCTGTTTAAATGTCCTATAGCTTACGCGTAAAAACAAGACACTTAGTAGTTATACTTAAATTAAATTACTATCTCTACTATCCTGCTCTACTGTCTCTTTTTTATTTATCTCTCTCACTCTTTTATTTGTTTTTAATTATTATTACTAGTAATCTACAACAAACATCTATTTTAGCAAACGAAATTGAAGAAAAGTACAAAGTAAAGAGGTCAAGGAAAAACATACCTTACAACAAATCCTACCTAGACTACATGTCAGATGAAGATCTCGACCAACTATTATTAGATGAGGCTTTCCCTTCTGAAGGTTCTACCGAAGAACCTTACCCTGAAGGAAGTTCTGACGATGAAGATAAAGGTTTCTATTAATTTACTCACAGTTAATCAAATATTATCCTACTTATAAATAAAGTCAAACTAATCTAACAAAATAATTGCAGATAAGAAAAGCAAGAAAAAGAAAAAAAAAGGAAAGAAGAAGGCAAAGAAAATCGTTCAAATAAGAAAGAGTTATGAAATTCAAGAAGATCATAATATATCCGCTACAAAAAAAAAATAAAAAAATCTGATGTTCGGTTAGAAAACAAGAAAAAGAAAGCTAAGGGTGAAACTTATATTGATGACAAAGGCCAATTATTTGAAGGTAAATCAATAAAGCCTAATCCATGTATAGGAAAAAAATGTGGCAATGACTGTCAAAATATCCCTGAAGACAGACGTCAAAGTTTATTTACATATTTTTGGAACCTTAACAGTAACCAAAGACGAAAGGATTGGATAGCTCACTGTGCTGTTAAAAAATCTATTAAAAGACCAAGCAAAGATAACAATACAAGAAATTGCTCCTACGACTATTTTATTAATGAAGGCGAAGGACGAAGAAAAGTTTGTCAAAAATATCTTATAAATACGCTGGATATAACTCAACGATTTATTCTCTACACACTGGACACTATGACTGATGGGTATGCGAAGACAGATGACCGAGGAAAAACTGGTGGATATAACAAAACTAAGGAGGAGGTCATAGAACATGGAAGAAATTTTATAGACTCTTTACCAAAGATGCCCTCTCATTATTGCCGAAAAGATTCAACGCGACTGTACTTTCCGGAAGAATTTAAAAATGTCAGCAATTTATACCGCATTTACAGAGAAAATTGTAAACAGAGCTCAATAAAAGAAATGTCATATCAGGTGTTTATTGCGTGGTTTAAAAAATCTTACAATACTGGATTTCACGTTCCTAAAAAGATAAGTGTCTTATCTGTACTGATAACAAAAACAATGAAGAAAAAACTGAAGAAGAAAAAGAAAAATTAGAAAGACATGTTAAAGAAAAAAATGAATCATACAAGAGGTTTAAATACCACCAAACTATACACGGAAAAGATAAAAGTATAATTTGTACAAGCTTTGATATGCAGAAAATACTGAATACACCTTATGGGAATTCGATGATGCTATATTACAGTCGTAAACTGTCGGTATATAATTTTACGATATATGAAAGCGCTACTAAGAAAGGATACTGTAATGTATGGACGGAGACCGATGCGAATTGTGGTGCCAATGAAATTTGTACATGCTTGTACAATTACATCAAAGAAGTAGATGCGCGTGGTTCGGTTAAAACTTTATTGCTGTATTGCGATTCCTGTTATGGCCTAAATAAAAATAAACTCGTCCTTAGCATGATTCGATACGCCCTATCTCAATGCAAGGATATAACTACCATTCAAATTAATTATTTGATTCCTGGCCATACTTACATGCCAGTCGATAGTGTGCATGCGACAATTGAGACCAAAATTAGAAAATCTGTCATATGGGCGCCCTCACAATGGCCCACTGTAATGGAATTCGCACGTCAAAATCCAGAACCATATAAAGTTCAAGTACTCAAGGGTAAAGATTTCATTGGATTTGAAAATGTTGTTAACGCCACATTTAAAAAGAGTCAAAGAATTGCAATTTCAAAATTAAATATTGCTACTTTTAAAAGACATGAACCCGATGTAATGTACATTAAAAACTCAATGTTGCCCGACACTGAAGCTATGCTGATTCCATTGCTTCCTTTAAAAGACATAATATACTTAAAAGAAAATTTATATCCAACACAATTAGGCATAGCTGTCAAAAAGTATAAAGATTTAAAAAAGCTTGTTGACAATAATATTATTCCTTCGAGGTTCGCTCAAGAATACACAACAATAAAAATTAACAATAAAATAAAGGATTGCTTGGCAGATACAGGTGAAGAAGATGAGACTGAAGTAAAAGATAGCGTTGATTGCTAAAATAGGAAATTTAATAATAGAAAGGAACAAATATTACGAAGGAGAACAATTTTAATAGAACATGACGTGTAAGCCTGTATGATGAAAAAAAAAATGATTGATATTATTTTATTAAAACTTAGAGAAGTATTGTTTTATTTCAGTAGATGTTTGTTTTCTATAGGTGTTTATTTTAGTTTTTGATCTCATTGTAACTTAAATGTGATTTTGTGATTGTGATTTTAGTTCTTTAAACGTTTTAATAATACCTTAAATAAATGTAATTTCATACTTACGTCGTTTTAATTGTACTATCCTTCCTGACTTCTTACAGTTAAGCCCATTCAGTGTAATTGTTTACATAGATATATTTCATTTAAGTCAAAATGTAGGCAAATAAATATGATATAGAACATAGTTACATCAAATTTGCTTTAAAGGAAAACTTTCAGTTTGTAGTCGTCTATACATTTATCTCGTTCATTTACAGCGTTTTTGCGTAACAGAAAAAAAAATGTTATTGCTGTAACCCACACACATATAGATTAAAAGTAACTTCTAAAAGATTTCAAGTATTAGGTTTGATAAAAAATCTGTAAACATATTTATGTTAAAAAATTCACATGTGTGGCTTTCATAGTTACGGAGATATATATATATATATATATTTTAAATTTCAAAGTGTTTTTAACTCTGGTGAACATTTCGCATTTTGGGGGTTACTACGTTTTCGCTTTTTCACGACTTGATGTTCAAACACGATTTATGTACTTTTCGCGACCGACTTCCGCTTTGACCTTGAGATAGAGAGCAAAATATCCGTATGCTTGACTATTACTGAATGTGATATATCTCTAAAGCTAATTAAGGTAAAGAAGTGAAACTAACGCAAGGTGTTAGGTTACATTACAGAGTATATCACAAATATTTTTTTATAATTTTTAGAATAAAAAATTACATTAAAAAATAAAAAATAAAAAAATCATGTTTTTTTTCTGAGTTCTCTGTGACTTACAATCACGAAATTAATATATGTTATGCTCCTTTGTGTGCTCTATTACCCATAAAAATTGCGTGAAAAAAAGTTGGTGCAAGACAACGAAAAAAAATGATATGTGATTTCTGTCTTATGGTATACCCCTGTATTATAAGGTTTTCACATTACATCATTGTTTTTTTTTTCGAAATTTCACATCAGCTTGTTTTAAAACATAAGTAACTAGTCTTAAGAGATGGGATAATAGTTAAAAAGAAATGAAAAAAAAAACAGCCAGTGTTCAATACTTATTATTATTACTTTTTCGTGTCTCAAAATACAAGAAACAAAATATTAATCATCGTCACTGTTGTAATTAATTACAATCGGAACACTTTGAGTCGCAAATAACTTAGTTAGGACCTCAGCAGGACGTACGATTTTGGACAAATATCATCCATATGATAGATAATAAATAATAGCTGCTACATGAGAACAGCATCCCACTGTACGTTTGCCATTGGGGCAATCACAGCAATAACGAAGAATACTATTGTAGTCATTACCTTCGGAAATATAGTGAATGTAAATTCGATAGACTTTTCTATTTATATGTCTTGATTTTACTTCTGCTTTGATGATATTAGGTGCTGATTTCACATATTGTACTGAGAGATTATTTTGATCGTCCATTATTTCGGCCAGTTAAATGCTGCACATTTAGAAGTAGAAGCTTTTTTGTTAATATATGGGATAAGTCAACACTTCTTACAAAAAATATCTGGGGAAATTGGGAACACTTAACTTCTAAAGGTTAAAAATAATAGTAAAACATCATAGACATAATCAACTTTAATTGAAACATAAACTTTACTTATTTATTTACTTATTGCTTACAAATAAATATTCAAAATCAACAATTTATTAAAATTATCAGAGAAAACAAGAAACATTGTCGTTCCCTTTTACCCGATATCCTATGGGGTAAATGAGATCATCCCTCGGGGGAAATAGGAACGGTGTGGGGTAGTTGAGATCGACGAAATCAAGTCTTTATAATTAGATAATTACTTCTTGGTGTGGCATATATCACATACGTAACCTTTACTAGTCTCCCCAGCAGTACATTTTTCATGTGCCCAGTGCTTACAAATAGAGCACATGATCCAATCTTCTCTCGGTGGGGATTCATATTTTTCATTGCACATTATACAGTGAAACTCCTCTTGATTTTCATTGTTTTGTAAAGCCTTCTTTAGATTTCTGACTCCTTTTGCAATGTGCGATTTTTTAGCAGAAACTTTTTTTGTTTTTGCTTTTCTTTTGATTTGTCTTTTCTGTTTTTCTTCTAGTTGAACTTTTATAGGTTTGCTGGATAAAATTTGAGAATGCTTCTTATTTTGTCGCTTAGAAGCTGTTGGTTTTAGAATGACAGGTACATTAACAATATCAGCAAGAGGCACAGAAGTGGATGGAGGTGTAGAATGGATAGTAACGCTCAAATCCTTGTCATTTTCATTAATAGAAGTGGAATCTTGCATTAATGTTTGGTTCTGATTGATACTGCTAATGGACATATTTAAATTTAGTTCAGCTTCAGTTACAGTTCTAGTGTTCATGGACTTACTCAAACTTTGTTCAGCTACAGGTAGATCATGTATAATATTTTCGAAGGTGTCTTTAAATGTGTCAGGATTGATAGGATAAATTCCAGCTGCTCTAAATCCACTAACAGCCTTGCTTATATTAGCTATTTTATTGTACGCTCTTGTAAATAGTTCTCCAACCTCGTATTGGGTTATTCGTTTACCTGGATTATTTACCATGTAGAGCTCACATTCTTTATTGTACGCTATTTTCAGAGGACTGAAAACTGTAAGATCTAGTGGCTGCATTTTATGAGACACATGAGGTGGTAACGAAAGAACTTGGAGATTGTGTTCTCGGAACAGCGCGTATGCTCCCAGGCTGATATGACTTTCGTGATTATCGAGTACAACTAAAACTGGATCATCTTTGGTCGGCTTTACAAAAGAAATGAAATGTCGCAAGAAGTCAATAAATATGGACTCATTTATCCAGCCAGAATCAGAAACAGTAGCTATCATGTCGCTGTTACAACCTTTAATTAGCAGTTCGCTCATTCTCTTTCTTTTGAAGATAAACATGGGAGGTACATATATGCCACTAGCGCTATTAGCACAAACTATTGTTGTTGTAACACCCCGTTCTCCACTTGTCGCTTTTGCTATCTGCTTTACGCCCTTAGGAGCCAAAATTTTGTAATTTTTTTGAACCATGCTAATGCCAGTTTCATCAATATTAAAAATGCGATGACTAGGTATATTGTGTTTAGCTTGAATCACTCTTAGTTGATCAAAAAACAGATTTACTTCAGTGGCGTTAAAAGCGGTTATTCTATTAAGTGAAGTAGCTTCACTTGATAGAATAACCGCTTTTAACGCCACTGAAGTAAATCTGTTGAACTAATGGAAGGATGACGAGACATAAAGCCATAATACCAGTCTTTACCTGCAATCTGGGTCTCCTTGTTAAAATTGTGTTTTAATTTGTTAGCTTCAGCAAATCGAAAAGCAATTCTGCGTAATGAATTTGGTGTTATACCATAAAAAGCCTTGCAGCATTCAAGTATATAATTAAGCAGCTCTTCTTCTTGTTCTTTGTTAAATACAGTGTGTCTCCCTTTTTTTGGTATCTTGAATTTGTCCAGCTTCAATTGTTTAAATAGTGTTGTTTTTGGTATTGAAAATTTGGTTGCAGCTTGGCTCAATGTAAGCTTTTTATTTTTGACATCTTCAATCGCATTGCGAAGATCTTCAATCTCATACTTCGTTGCAGTCTTTCGTATGTAGTTTCGAGGCATCTTAAACAAATCGTACCGTTAGAAGATAGTTTAAAACTACAATCTAGTAGCATAGGGGTAAATAAGAACACTACGGGGTAATTAGGAACATTCTCAATTACCCGCCGGACTCTGTTCCCAAATGCCCGAAGTACTCAATATTAATCAAAATGGCGGCTATCGGCTATAGCACTTTTGTTGACCTTCAAGTAACAAGGGATTCGAAGACAGATATCACATGCATGATTATTACGAAATATGGAGTTTGTAATTTCAAAATAATTAAATTTACATCTATTATAAACCACGACTAAAATTATAAAAGAAATGCAAAAAATATTGTTCGACTCACCGTGACAACGCGCGCGCGGTGTTTCACTTCTAATATCGCGTGGGCACTGAGGGGGGCTGTGTGCATTCATTCAACGGTTGCAGGACGGTGTAGTGCGGGGGGAAGTACTACTTATCTACCTTTTCCCAATTACCCTTCGTTCACAATTCCCCCACTTTCCCCTAACTATTACGATTTTATTCAAACAGTCACTAAACACTTTAGCTTCTTCTTCATTCTTCATAATTTTTTTATAACCAGGAACCTTACACAGGTACTTGTTACAATTATTACACTTTCTCGACATTATTACTTAATAATTATTTGGTTCGATAGTTAATAATTTAAAAATGCTGATACAAAATACGTATGACAGAATTGAATTCCCAAACTGCCTTCTTGTGTAATACAAATGACTGCTACTTTAGCTAAACAAACGATGCAGTAAACAGCTCGATAACAAGTTCGAACTTGTTTGTTTATACACTTACACTACAAGGCGCGAATCACATATAATTTTTTTTCGTTGTGTTGCACCAACTTTTTTTTCACGCAATTTTTATGGGTGATAGAGCACACAAAGGAGCATAACATATATTAATTTCGTGATTGTAAGTCACAGAGAACTCAGAAAAAAAAACATGTTTTTTTTTATTTTTATTTTTTTTATGTAATTTTTTATTCTAAAAATTATAAAAAAATATATGTGATATACTCTGTAATGTATCCTAACACCTCGCGTTGGTTTCACTTCTTTATCTTAATTAGCTTCAGAGATATATCACATTCAGTAATAGTCAAGCATACGGATATTTTGCTCTCTATCTCAAGGTCAAAGCGGAAGTCGGTCGCGAAAAGTACATAAATCGTGTTTGAACATCAAGTCTATATTAAAACATAAGTTTCAATATCGATTCCCATTTGGGGGCCGACTCGTCATAAGTTTTAAATATAAATATTACAATAATGTAGATATGTGATTAAAATAGAAATTATAAAATTATATCCTGTAATAGCGTCCAAGTTTTTATTAAGAAACCCAAAAAGGGGTATTTGTTTTATTAAGCAATTTTTATTTTATATTAAGGTAAACAGACAATCTATTTTTATATTCATTTTTTGTTTGTTACAATTTCTTTTCTTTACCCATTATTACCATAAAATAAATCAATTCTCAAGCTAGTCAGTCTTTTAATTAATTCCCAAGCATCGAACCCGTCACAAAGCTAAGTGTAGCTTTTGTACTTGCTGTTTAAAATTAATAGAGATAAAGATCATCATCAGCTCTTTTACTTCCCCGCTGCAGGCCTTCCTTATGGATGGTTAAGGAGGATGGACCATGAACCTCCACGCTGTCCAATGCTGATTGGAAAGTAATAATGACTGCAAGTACAGCCGGGACCAACGGTTTAACGTGGCTTCCGAAGCACGGAGTAGTATTTATTTGGTCACCCATCCTTGATTAACAACAACGATCGCAGGTCGCGACTCTTATCCATTACTCTATTGAGCTACTCTATCTTTAGATATTGGATAGATAAATAGGCTACTATGATGTGT